TTTCTCCAGCCTCTTTGGAACCTCCTTTCAAGAAGTTGAAGGCTGCTATCAAATCCCCCCTCACTCTTCGATTCTGCAGACTAAACAAATCCCTTCGTGTCTCCTCATAGGTCACGTACTCCAGCCTCCTAATCATTTTGGTCTCCCTCTCCTGGACCCTCTCCAATGTGTCCACATCCTTTCTATAGTGGGGGGGCCCAGAACTGGACACAATGTTCCAGATGTGGCCTCATCAGAGCTGAATAAAGGGGAATAATCACTTCTCGGGATTTGCTGGCAATGCTCCTCCTAATCACCCTAATATGCCCTTAGCCATCTTGACTACGAGGGCACACTGTTGACTCATATCCAGTTTCTCATCCACTGTAATCCCCTGGTCCTTTTCTGCTGAACTGCTACTTTGCCATTCAGTCCCCAGCCTGAAACAGTGCTTGGGATTCTTCCATCCCAAGTGGAGGACTCTGCACTTGTCCTTGTTGAACCTCATCAGATTTCTTTTGGCCCAATCCTCTAATCTGTCCAGGTCACACTGGAGGGCAGGGTTAGGGTCCAGAGTATCTACCTCTCCCCCAAGCTTAGTGTCATCTGCAAACTTGCTGAGGGTGCAATCCATCCCCTCATCCAGGTCATTAATAAAGATGTTGAACAAAACTGGACCAAGAACTGATCTTTTGGGCACTCTGCTAGAAATTGACCGTCAACCTGACATCGAGCTGTTGATCACTACCTGTTGGGCCCGACAGTCTAGCCAGCTTTCTATCCATTTTACAGTCCATTTATCCAATCACTAGGTTACCTCCCTCCTCCAGTAAGGGCCCCACATCCTCTCTGATCACCCTCTTATTGCTAACATGCCTGTAGAAACCTTTGTTACCCTTCACATCCCTTACCAGCTGCAATTCCAATTGCGCTTTCACCTTCCTGATAACTCCCCTGCATTCTCAATCAATATATTTATACTCCTCCATAGTCATCAGTCCAAGTTTCCACTTCTTTTAAGTTTTCTTTTTGTGTTTAAGCTCAACATGGATGTCCTCAGTAAGCCAGTCTAGTCACCTTGCTTCCCTTGCTGCACATCGGGATGGTTTCTCCCTTTGCCTTTAATAAGGCTTCTTTAAATTACTTTCAGTTCTCCTGGACTCCTTTCCCCTTTATGTAAGCATCCCAGGGGATCCTGCCCATCAGTTCTCTGAGGGAGTCAAAGTCTGCTCTTCTGAAGTCCAGGGTGTGTAGTTTGCTACTCTCCTTTCTCCCTTTGGTCAGGATCCTGAACTCTACCATCTCATGATCGCTGCTTTCCAGGTTGTCACCCACCTCTACTTCCCCTACTAGTTCCTCCCTATTTGTGAACAGCAGGTCAAACTGCGCATGGCCCCTGGTTGGTTCCTTCAACACTTGTACCAAGAAGTTATCCCCAACATTCTCCAAAAACTTCCTGGATTGTCTGTGTACTGCTGTATTGGTCTCCCAACAGATGTCAGGGTGATTAAAGTCACCCATGAGAACTAGGGCCAGTGATCTGGAAGCTTCTCTCAGTTGTCCAAAGAAAGCTTCGTCTACCTCATCCACCTGATCTGGCGGTCTATAGCAGACACCAACCACAACATCACCCCTGTTGCTTCCACCTCTAAATTTAACCCATAGACTCTCAACAATCTTTTCTCCCTCTAAGTACTGGAGCTCCAAGCAATCATACTGCTCCCTTACATACAATGCAACTCCTCTTCCTTTTCTCCCCTGCTTGTTCTTCTTGAACAGTTTATACCCTTCCATGTCAGTGCTCCAGTCATGCGAGTCATCCCACCAAGTCTCCATTATTCCAATTAAATCATAGTTCTTTAACTGGGCCAGGGCTTCTAATTCTTCCTGTCTGTTTCCCAGGCTTCTCGTATTGGTGTACAAACAACTTAGATAACCAGTTCATCACCCTGCCTTCTCCATTCGAATCAGGGGTCCTCCTTTGTTGCTCATTCCTCCTTGTGATTCTTCCAAGTGTCCGACTTCCTCACTTACCTCGGGGCTTTGGTCACCGTCCCCCAACAAACCTAGTTTAAAGCCCTCCTCACTAGGTTTGCAAGCCTGCCTGTGAAGATGCTCTTTCCTCTTTTGGTTAGGTAGATCCCATCTCTTCCTAACAATCCTTGTGCCCAGAAGAGAGTCCAATAGTCGATGAAACCAAAGCCCTCTCTCTGACAGCACCTGCGCAACCACGCATTTACTTCCTCAATTCGGCGATCCCTACCCAGACCTTTTCCTTCAACCGGAAGGATGGACAAGAACACCATTTGCACTTCAAATTCCTTGATTCTTCTTCCCAGCACTACATAATCTGCTGTGACCCGCTCAAGGTCATTTTTGGACATATTGTTAGTTCCTACATGGAGAAGCAGGAAGGGGTAGAGATCTGAAGGTTTAATCACTTTCGGCAGACTCTCCGCCACATCCTGAATGCAAGCTCCCAGTAAGCAGCACTTCTCGAGATTGCAGGTCTGAAAGCCAGATGGATGACTCTTAGGAGGTAATCCCCGACCACCACCTCCCATCTTCTTTTGGGGTTGGTTGTTGTGGAATCCCCATCCCTAGGACTGCACATCACATGCTTTCTAGTAGATGGTGTTCCCTTCTGATTTCTTCCCTGAGAGGTCTCTGTCAAAGCATTCTCCATCACAGTGCCTGTGGAGAGAGTCTGAAAGTGCTTCTACAGGAATGGGGGATACCTGAGTTGGCCGCCTTCTCCTTCTAGAGGTTACATGCTGCCAGTTTCCTTCCTTGTCCTGTGCTGCCCTGACTGGCTCTTTAGCCTGCTGTGGCTGCAGGATTAAATGCTGCCTTCTATCGAGGAAGTCTTCATCCTCTGAGAGAGAGAACGTAGGGTCGATACTTGGGCCTCCAGTCCTCTAATTTTTTCTTCCAAAATGGTCAAGTGAGCCCAAGAATCCAAAGACCCAGAAATGTTTAACCTTTCATATAATCATTCCTGGGGATAAGTGTTCAGAAATAAGGACCAGGTTTGTTTTTAACTGTGGAGAGTTCCAGCTCAGCTCTGTTGCTGTGTTCAAACCCTTATCCTTGCCTTTCTCCTGAGCCAGTTGAGTTCTCGTCGCTTTTTCTCCATGTCAGTGCCCTAGTGACTGGCCGCTCAGTGCTCCTGTTTAGATATCACTCAGACCAACCCTAGCCTATCTTATTACCTTGTGCAGAGGACCCGAAAGCTAAATACCTTACTTGTCCAGAGGGCAACTCTATTTGTCCTCCTAAACAGGATTTTACTCAGCCTGACCTGTGAAGTGATCAGCTGGTAGTGGACAGTTGAGGAGGATTGGGACCTGGGGAGAATGGTATGTGGAAATAGGGGTGCTGCTGCACCCTCTGGCTTGAGGTGGGTTTCCATTATACATTGGGATTACAGTTACGTCAACAGCTCCCAACACTTATTGTAAAAAATTCATAAAGTACACTAAGTACTTCTGAGGGTTGGTTACCTGAGAGCCAGAGTTCAAATAGATGACCAGAGAGACAAGAACAGGCATTGTGGGAAGGGTACTGGAGGTCAGTCAGGATGCAGTACTACACCATGATGTCCACACTAGCACCCGAGTAGACTATCCAGAGTGCAGCACACTAGAGAGAACCCTCTCTATTTAAAACATCTCTCCCCCCCCAAAGACTGCCTTTTTGTTGGTTTTAAACTCTCTTTACAGTGGAAATTAATTGTGAACAGGGAAAAACAACCAAAATGGCAAAACATGTTCTTTTTACTCAGAATTGCTTCCCTGTCTAAATGCTATATGATATGCTATATGGAAAAGTTACACAAGTGGTGTTTAAAGCTTTTATGAATTGGTCTCTTAATGGCTGTAAAAACGATATGCTTTAAATATCTCCTGTATGATTAATACCAGCCATTTTCCACTTTCATTTAAGTATGTTAAAATCTTGTCATAAAATGAGGAAATGGCTTGTGTATTAAGTGTAGTGATTCTTCTAGCCTTTATACATATACTAATTTTTAAAGAACTCTACTCACAATTACTGATTTTTTTTTTTAACATGAAACTTCTACTTTGTGTTCTGTTACTGGTCTTCCTTTCCATATTTCATTTTGGGAAATGTTTTACATTCCCAGTTAAATTCTTAGTGCCTACTTTAGCACTTACTTTTAACAACATAAAAGCTTCTTTATTTGTTAAAGGGGTAGACAACGTATAACTTTTAATTGCCAAGAATCACACAGGAGGCTGCATTACTGAGTAATTTGTATTAAACTATCTTGTACTGGAAGAAATAGGATTTCTAACGTAACTTTTCACTTCTGTGTGATATCACCCTAGTAGCAAAGTGAAATCTCTTAAGGATATATGCTTTTAAATAAATACTTTGTAATTTCAGTTATGATTCTGTTTCATATCAGTTAAAAGTCCTACTTCAGACAAACTAAAGATGTTGCTCTGATAGCATTACTAAAGCATTAACATATAAAACAAAGCATTATCAAGGCTGAATAAATTCTATATGTTACGTTAATAGAAAAGAGACTGACACAGATTATGGGGACTGTTGTATTTTTTCCTCCCTCTTTTAGAATGAATTAATAAAAACTTCAAAGCACTTAAAATAATAAAACTAGTTCATTTTTTATATCCCTGTGAATTTTATTTGCCACATTGCATAAAACTATGAGTTAATAAAAATATGTTACTAGCAACTGTAAAATATTCTGTCATTCATTTAAAAAAAGAGCTGGTTCCCTATTGGGGAACTATAACACCATGCAAACTGCCCCAAAGAACTATTTTTACAATTCACTATGTTGATCTTGGTGGATCACAAATCATTTGTCATGCAGAGAAGCTATTAAACCAAATCAAAGAATGAAAACAATTCTCCTGTCTTTGTAGTTAAAGATTTGTCATTGATTAAGTGTAGAGTTACAAATCTGACATGCTGTTGTACAAACTTTAAAGATTTGAAAACAGTTTAAGGCATTATATGGTACTTACCAAATAAAAAGCAGCAATGAGTGGAATCTCTATTAGGTCCCCAAACTATTGTCAATGACTGATTAAAATGATGATCCTTTATGGTATTATTCTGAAGCGCATAATCTGAAATTAAAGGCCATTTATTGACAGTTACAAAATTCATTCTGTTGAAAGAAAGATTTCTCTCAGATATTAACCATAAAATCAGTGTTTGTTGCTTCCTACAGAATGCTAGAACAATAATTTATTTTTCAGAGGTATTTTTAGTTGGGTAATTTATACTGTGCTACATAAAGATCTTAGGCGCCATGTCATGAAACCAGATTCCAGCACACAGAGTGAAAGAAACAGATGGGAGTAAGTGGACAGATGGGTAACTAAAAACAAAACAAAACACACACAACCCTTCCCTCCCCCCCAACCCTACAATAACCATTTCCAATACCTGTGTGTTAACTAGCATAAACCAATATACTTTCAGTTTATTGGAAATGTCAGTAATGTTGGCAAATATCTGAAACCTTGGTATGTTAGTGTATATCAGAGAACTTTCAATATTCAGCAGAAGGGTCCCCATGGACAGTTAGTGATGCAGCATTATGTGCACTGTAGATTTACATGTCAGGTTGCTGCTCAGTAAATGTTTATGTAGACTTGTTCTTAGTAGGGTCCACAGGACTGTCTAAATTACAGTGGGGGGCATCCTGGAGCAGCCCAAGGATAGGAAGATGTAAAGATTGCTCTGAGACTTAGTTCAGAATCTCACCATATATGTCTACAGCCCACATACACTGCATGACATAAACAGCAATAGTTTATTGTCCATGCTGCTCCATCAACACGCTTAAGCCTGAGTTATTTAAAGCAGATACATCCCTATGATTCAAAGGTCCATTTCAGACTCCAGCCTCTCTGTCTTTGGCCTCTCTGATAACTGCTAGCCTATTGTTTTTATCTGAACTACAGTCTCTTAGAAATTGGACTGGGAGTATCAATTCAATTTCACTGCTAGATGGTTTCAGTACATGTAAAAATTACATGAATTGATGCTGATTACAGGTTGTAAATAGCAAAAAAAAAAAAATTCCTAATGTTTAAAACCATTTGTGCAATGAGGCAAAAACATAGCTCAGCATAGAATATATAAGAGAAGAACCAATTTGCTTACATGTCTCATGCCATCATAAGTTGAACACATTATAGGAGAAAAATTGTTTATCTAAAAAGGTTTGATATGCAACTTGTAGAACTGCTTCTGTGATGTTTTATGTCATGTAGGGTTTATCCTTACATGATTTCCCTTTTATAGTTTTCCTATAAGCGTTTTGAAACACAGTTTGGCTTGTTTTTCTTAATCTTTCAAAATAATAACGAGCAAGGTTTTTAACAACCCACTTAGTAAGATTTTGGCTACACTCACAAAACCATGGAAATCTAAGAAGAAGCTGTCAAAGGACACTTTAGATCAACCATATTTACATTGAGAGGCCACTTCTGTGCAAATGGTGTAATTCGTGTACACTGTTTGGAGAGCATCTTTCTTAACGGCTCATATGTGCTGTACAAGCAGGCACAGTAGGAGCTAATATAAAGTGGCATATTGTGCAAAAAACTACCTTGAGGAAAATATTTTTAATTGACACGTTTAATAGGCAACTTTCATATTTAAAGATGCCTCATGGAATTTTGGTTTTATACTGGCGTTATTATACCAAAATTCTATGAAATCTTCTCTTTCAGAATTGCGTGTGTGTGTGTGTGCGCGCACGCGTGCACACACACACGTGGAATGATTGATGTCTTTTCTATAGGGTTATCTATAGTAACTCTAAGTGATGTACATCTTTGTTTAGATATTTGACCTAGATCCATAATTAATTCCACAAATCCCAACTGAGACTCAATAAATCAATTTAATTCTTATTCTCCCATGACAGTGTTCAGCAAAATGGATTTTTTTTAAAGTGAGTTGGCCTTTGATATACATAGAGAATATTGTAGAAATGAGAACTCTTTACTGTAAAAGCCGAATTGTCAACCCCATCCCATTATAAATTGAAAATGGTTAGCTCAAGTACCTACTCTTGATGGAAGCATCTTCATACAAGAAAAAGAGAAATATCTACTGTGGTCAACATTCAGCCATGTTACACTTACTGTGCTTTTGTAAGGAACTGGAAACAGTGCAGATCAGAGAATGTAGGTTGTACTTGCTTCCCTCAGGAGCATCACTAAGAATGTGGCTCTTATATTTTTCACTTGATGAAGTTCTCCAGATCTGTTGCTACAGGGAGTACATTACTGTAATCTCAGATAATCTGAAAATGGCATGGATAAAAGACTAAACCTCCAAAAAAATCACTATCTCCTAGTCAAGTAGTGTAGCTGGATTCTGCTGTTCTCTGAGTAGCCACAAGAAGTTGTGGATACAAGAAGAAATAGTTGTTGAAAATTTGATTAGCAATGGATGGACAAACTACTTTAGCCAAGAAGTTAATATTGCCTGATATCGATTGGGGGGGAAAAAAAGGAGAGAAATATCTCCTGGGATTAGTGGAAGAAGGAAATATTTTAGAGATCAATGAAGAGTATATTCATAGTGCCACCCTTTCATTATAAAAGAAGCCCAAATTTGAGGACAGAGAGGGCTCACAATTCTAACACCCTGGACACAGGTAGTGTGAAAACTAGAAAAATGAACATAATTATCAGGACATATGGGCACACGTCTGAAAGATGATTGAAAAATATATTCACTAATGCATTTAATATTTGGAAAGATTCCATGGAGTTACCCTGTGAATAGGAAGTTGTCTGAGGGTGTAGCTTTCAGGACGATTTTTGCATATGAGCTGCCAAAATAGAGCATGTAATCAGTGCTTTAAGTTCTGAGTGTGTTTAATTGCTCCTAGAATTCTTACAAGTAGGCCTGTCTCTGTGGCTACAGTACAATGTTGATTTTGTTCTAGCCTCTTGATGTGCACCATGAATCATTTTTTCTGCATCTTAAATACTGAAAATTGGTGAGAAATATTCTGGATTTCAGGATCATTCAAAACATATCACTTGTATTTTATTATTATTAAATGTCATTCAGCCATGTTACACTTACTGAATAATGAGGCAGCTAGGTTCAGAGATACTGGAAGTGACGGAACAGATGGCCCTGTGAAAGAAGATATGTAGTAGATCATAATGTTCATGGAGCAGTCATTGTTATCTTTATGAAGCCTAAAAACCAAGGGCATCTGGGCCATTGGAGTGTGATCAGAAAAAACATGTAGCTTCTTGTCCATCTCTCTGTTAGATGGTGTAGGTTACCAGGGCAAAACAGGAAACACATATATCTGAGCACTTGGCCACACCTGGGAGAAGGTACTGATTATTTTGGCTCAGTGCACAGTTTTTCTTGGCACTGGAACAGGATGCATACAGATCTCAAATTGATTTCTCAAAGGTCTGGGCTATGGGTCGTGAATTTTAGCAAAGCAGATTATAGAGCATATTTTTGTCAGTTATCCTAAATGTTCTCTAAGTGAAATATATATTTTTCTTTCCTTTTTTTAATGTTAAATCAAAAACATCCTTTCATTCTGTTCATGAATGAGAAATACTAAGCATATGCAGATAGGTGCCTGTTTTGGGGGGATTATGATAATCCCCTTTAAAGAGGTTAATTCAGTACCCTTTTCCACCTTACAGATATATAATATTCTAAATGCCCAGCAAATTTTAACACAGTACTTAGATATGTGTTTGGGGAAAAATCCAACCCAGTTTCACATCTATATTTGTGGTGCTATTAGCCAAGAGAAACCTGTCAGAGTAGGTATGTTGTGGGATTAGTTTAAGTTTCATTCTTACCAATCACCTTGCAAGTGGGCAGGCAAAGAGGCACCTGGCTGAAAGGTTCTTACATTAAAAGTAACATTGGAGTATGAGGTCTGGTCTACACTGGGAAATTAGGTTGAACTTAGCCACATTAGATTGATTTTTTTTTCTAAACAAAGAGTTCATACTACCAAGCCTGTACTGTTGACTTTAAGGGCCACTAAATAGATCTTGGCACTCCAGCTTTTCATGAGGTGCAACAGTAAATTTTACCTTGCATGGCTGACTTTGGGGCAGTGCAGATGCAGTACTATGAATGCTTGGCTTGAAGGAGGTCTCCCACAGTGCTGTGACTGCTCTGGCCAGGATTCTCAACTCTTCTGCTCACTAGGTGCACAGGAAAAGCCTCAGGAAAATCTACATTTCATTTTCTGTGTGGCCAGTGTGGTGAGCAGATCTCAGAGCAGGCAGCACACCTCAGCAGGACACCTGACCATGAATGCCCTGGGATCACAAATGAGAGCCAGCAAGGAGCATGCAAGAGATCCTGGACTTCACTGTTGTGTGAGGAGAGGAATCTGTTCACACACAACTATGAAGCAGTAAAAGAAACACTGATATCTATGCCAAGATTGCAAAGGCCATGGAGGAGAGAGGATACATCAGGGACACCCAGCAGTGCTGCATGGGAGGGAGGGCAGCAGTGAAGGAAAGGAGTTAAAGCAGGCATACCAGGAGATGGAGGCAAGATTTTCTGAGGAGGCCTGCTTTATTCTGGTTTTCATTGTAGGACACCTTTCCATGCTAGTCCAGCATTAAATGGTCTGCTATCACTGCAGCACAAAGCATTACAGCGTAAGGTCCAGGTTTCTGGCCACTTTCAGTCAGCATCTGCTTCCTATCACTCTGTCTGATTTGGAGAAGACTATCATGCATGGCAACCTGAATGAAGCAGGGGAAGCTGTTAGCTGATGTTCCTGCAGTAAACTTCTATTTGCTTATCCCCAATGAAGCATGGCTTGAGCCCCTGCCAAGCCTGGCCCCCCTCCTACATGGAAGCTCCTCAGGGTCTGCACGAGTCCCTGCCCTTCTGCTACACCCAGACCCCCTCCCAACCACATGCTCCTGCAGGAAGGGAAAGTGGCACTCTCAGGGCAAATGGCAGTCATAGAAAACAAACACATGGTCACAGCATGAGCTCCTGTCTTGCTGCCACTCCAGCCCCTTTCCCACCCAGGTTTGAGTCCTGGCCTGCTCATGACCATGCTTGCCAGCAAAACAAATCCAGCTGCTCTCCTAAGATCTGTGGTGTACCTGCTGCAACAGCAGGCTCTTAAAAGCATAACCATCGCCTTGTACATAACACCTCCCTATTGTCTTTCAACAGATTTTCCTTTATGCTAAGAGATTAGGTTTTATGCTTAACAATCTCCAGTGAAGTCTGCTATTCACTTTTTGTTACAGTGAGTGCAGCAGCGAGCATGGTGCACTCCCCATCTCTGCCAGCAGTCCATCTAGCACAAATCTGCAGGCAAAACAATATACTGTGGATGGCATGTTTCAGGAGCAAATGCAATTCACACTCTTAGGGAGCAATTAAGTGAGAGGAGGAAAATGCTGCAGCAAGAGATGCAAGCAAAGCATGAGGACAGGAGAACATGAAGGGAACTCGATGTGAAGAACCAGGAGAGAGTCCTGATGGTCATGACGTGCATGGTGGACTTCCAGAACAGCCACATGCATGGGTACCTCCTACAGCCCTTGAGGACCCATGTTTCCTCAGTATAGAGTTCCATAGCTTCCACTCCCTGGTGCCCTAGAATGCAGGGAGATGAGGAGAGAGTCAAGGATGGCCTCAGATTCAATCTCCAAGAATTACTGTACAGGGGGATTGTAATATGCTGCTTTCCCTTCTTCTCTTCTGTCCCCCCCCCCCGGCCTCCATGCCAGAGTTCCTGCCCGCAACTCCTTTTATGTCTCTGGCTCCCTATGTTTTCTTAAAGCTCATGAATTCTCAACAGTCTCTTTATTGTTCGTGCTGGGGAGAAAGGGAGTTACAGGGTTTACAAGCTAGAATGCTTAATGAAAAGAGCACTACGCTATGAGCAACGTGCATGACTGTCCTATCGCTGCATGGCCATTCGTCAAGGTATTTTTCAAAGCCTCTCTGATTGCCTGTGCCCCTCGCTGTGCTCTCCTTATTGCCCTGGTGTCTAGCTGCTCCAAATTACTGGCTAGGCGCTGTGCCATACAATTTCCCCCTTGCTTTCACAGATATTAGAGCACAGAACAGGCTGTCACAACAATGGGAATGTTGCTTTCACTGAGATCTAATCTAGTCAATAAAACCTTCCTTCCCTTTACAAGCATATTCTACCACAATGCTGCACTTGTTCAGCCTGTAGTTGAACTGCTCCTTACTGCAGTCCAGGCTGCCTGTGTGTGGCTTCATGAGCCACAGGAGCAAGGGGTAGTCTAGGTTTTCAAGGATCACTATTGGCATTTCAATGTCTCCAAAGTAAATGTCCTGGTCTCGGAAGGAAGTTCCAACTTGCAACTTTCTGAAGAGACAGGAATTCCCAGAGATGTGCCCTTTCTGACTATCCCACGCTGATGTCAGTGAAACAGTTCCTGTGATCCACCAGCAACTACAGCATCTTTGAGAAGTACCACCTTGAGATTTATGTACTCTTTGGCAAAGTGGTTGGGTGCTATGGTGGGTCAACACACATCACTATCTTGGCAAGGGAACCCCATCACACTAATGCCATCTATGTCTTCCACATTTCCTAGAGTCATTACTGCTTGTAGCAGAAGGGAATTGATACTACTTGGGTCACAACAGCCCCACTGCAGATTTCCTCATTCAAATTGATTCCCAACTTGATTGGTAGCTATTGGCTATTGCAAGCTTCCACAAGGCTATTGCAACTCACTTTTCAACTGTCAGAGCAAGTCTCCTTCTGGTATTGCTGTGCTTCGGGGCAGGGGTAAGCAATTTGCAAAATTCCATGGAAATGGTCTTATACATGCAAAAGTTTTGAAGCCACTGCTGATTATCCCATAGCTGCATAACTATGCAGTCCTGACCGTCTCTGCTTATCTTAATACACCAGAACCAGCGTTCCACTGTGCCAAGAGGATCCAATGCTGGCGGCATTTCCCAGTCACTCAACTCAAATGCTTCAAGGATGAGTGCGTTCATGGCCTCCCAAGATTTTTCATTGTTCTTGGATATACTCCGACATAAGGCTCATGATGGTTAATGTGATTATCATAGTACTTTGCTGCTGAACGGGTTCTATGCCCACCTGCTATGCCATCTGCATGGATAATCGGGGGGGGAAAGGCTCGAACAGACTGTTTGACACTGCTTTCAAGCAGTGGGGGAGGGATAAGATGTGTGCAGTATGGGCTGTTGATGACATGTACCTAGAGCCAGCCACTGCACACTTTTGCTCCCAGCATGCACTGGGAAAAAATCTTAATAAATTCAACTTATCTTGTATTGTAGATAAGGCTTGAGATACTGTACTTGGGTAAGAGAATATACTCCCTCTTCTGTACTTTCTATCACCATGCCACTTCATGCTCCTTAAGTAATATGTGTACTTTCCCTTTCATTAACGTTCTTGTGTGTGGAAGTGTTTTCTACTAGATTGTTCTGAATTTGTTTCTGCTTAACTTCAGAGCTGGCATTAATGGCTACATTGAGACGCTGCCTTGAAAATACATTGGCAAGTCCTATATAATATGCAAGGCAGAACACTGTTTAATTGGGGGCTCTTGATGCCATCGTTCCTGGTCTCTTGAAACATGCCCACCTACTGTTCTAGGTTACTTTTAAATGCTATTTAAAAAACCTTAAATAAATGTAAATAATGGCTCTGGGTAGCTGCTCCTCCTGCTGGCACTGACTGTTCTTATTGAAATTATATCCCTTTTCCCTTGGAAGGAAGGAAGTGAATAGGCCCCAGGCAAGATTTAGCATTTTAAAGCTATGTCTAAAAGCAGTTTAGATCAGTTGGCAAAGGCTATAGGAAAGCAGGAGCAAGGCTGGAAGTGGGGGTTGGGACGAAGAGTGAACAAACTAGAGCATGACAAATATTAGCAAGGAGGGTAGTTGAAAAGAGAGAATGCTGAGAGCTGGCAGAGAGAGCTGAGAGGGAATCAATGACCAACATCATTTAGGAAGAAGCACAAGGAGGGGAGGCAGAAATAAGTGAAGAAGGGGTA